CTATTGTGTCTGCCATGGGAACGGGGTGTTTTTTTCATTGATGAGCCCCGGCTTAGGAGTTGCTTAGCACATCAGGGGACTTCAAAATAAACGGAATCATCGACAGCCACGGTCAATTCCCTGTTGGATGAAGGCCTCCCAAAATCCGTTGCCACGTATCGTCAGCAACCCCCCCCCTCCCCCACCAGAAGATTCGCGTGAAGACGATACAATCGCTCCATCTCCACAATGGACGTCCTCTCGGGGGCGTTGGCTCCTTGGGCTGCCACTCCGGTGTCAGGTTCGCCCACGTGGCTATAATGGCCCATTCAAGAGACGTGTCTTGCCCAAGACCACTCACTTTTTATTTTTAAACCGCCAACATATTCACTTTAGACTGGAGGAATCCGATGAGCTATGAAGCACTTTTTTCACAGACGTAGGTAGAACCAAGAGTATGGACCCTTGCAGTCACGAAAACTTCAAGTCTGAAAGATGTAGGTATGTATGTTGAACTTTTTTCATGGGCTACGTAGCCAACCGTGCTAATCGGAGGTGCGGGGGGGAGAAGGACAACAGCAGATGTCCCGTAGGGGCAGGTGACAAAGTTACGGCAGCAGTACAAAAAGCGATGGGAGTGCAAAGTATAGGAAAGGTAAGCGAGTCACGAGATAAACTTGCTCGCGACTGATGCCTGCCATGGCTGGGAATGCATCTAAGGGTCGCCAAGGTGCATAGCACAGTTGCGCTAACCACAGCACCACCACTCCCACCCAAGGGCATCATTTTTTTAATCGAAGAAATGTGGTTTGTAATACGATGGCTGCTTGCAATGAGACGTTCAAACGATCAATCACTGCCGTTAATTGCTGCTGCCCACCACATTAAAGTGTCTCTCGGTGTACGTTTGTTTAAGCAGCCGGAGTAATGAGTTTATTACCACCCAAGGACTCTGACGTTCTCAGTTTGGCATTGCCTAGGGCCCCGCCAATCCAAACGAAAGCAGTTTCACACGTGGTAGCCTTTCGCGGCCAATATCATCCATAATACAAGGGGGTTTTGCGTTAGATCGCGTAAATATATAAATGTGTCGTTAAACCAGCCAGATTTGGCTGTCGCCTGATGAAGCTAGTTGTATTTACTGGCGAAACGTTGTACTCAGATTGTAAATGTTGTGGATTTTCTCCCCAATACACCGGTGTGCTGTACTAGTAACAAATTGGCACGTTCTGTTTACGTGACAAACCTTACTAATCGTCTGTGTCGGGTGGTGGCGGGTTTAACGGCACATTTACATATTAACGTGATCTAACCCAAAAAAAACTTGCATTACAAACGAAAGCATTCATCATCAGAACATTCCGTGACACACGGGGGGTGGGGGCGAGGGGGCGGGGGCAGTATGCTGAACTTCTTTCGCACCGTACGTAGCCAACCGTGCCAATCGGAGGTGCCACTGGTTCGTCGTGCAGTCGACAGAGAAATGCGTACCGGGGGGAGGGTGTTCTACAAATCATCACAAATTGCATCGCATGGCCACGCGACCTTCACGAACATGTTAACATTCTACATTTCACTTTGCGCACCCTAAAACCGGCACAAAAAAGTGAAAACATGTTCACATCACGTTCGAGTTGAGAGTGCACGCAGCACAATTGAGACTGAGGGTTTGCTGAAAGCGTTTTCGAGTCCCGCGCGTTGAATCCCGAGGTGGTTTGAAGTCACGCACCATATGTCTTCTGCACGATCATCTGGCCGATGTTTGCAGTGCAGTCGACAGAGAAATGCATACAGATGCACTTCAAGATAGACACGCTGCGAGAGAGACAACCTCAAACAATCGTATGCCGAGAGGGACTGCTTTTTTTTTTATATGATAAATCAACAACCAACGCAGAGTAATTGTGGACACAGAGACCTCGGGGATTCCGCTGCAGGGGATAAAGGTCAGCGCCCCGAACGTGAAATCCAGAAGTCACCGGTTATGTTCCAATGGTCGCGACTTCCTTAAAACTCCGAACCCCACCCCCCCCATCCAGCGGTATAATTTTGGTGGGGGTACACCCACGGTTTAGAGGGTTTGGGGGGTGGTGGTGGTTGGTTGGGGGTGTAAATGTGTGAGTAATCCCACGTCGTCGCGAAGATGTCTGGCACAAACGTGGACAAGAGTCGGACAAAATCACTTCTCCAGGGGTTCTAACGAACTCCGTCTAGCGGGGGGGGGGGGGGGGTGCACCCTTCCACCAGCAGTGGGATGGGTGGCCAAGTGAGATCGGAGAGGAATGCTCTCGCCAAATTTACCTAAATCAACAACAGCCACTGGATACAGCAGGGGCGCCGAACAAGCCAAGAACTCACGGTGGTGTCCTTTTCGATTTCAAAAAGCACATTTCCACTGTAAAAAATATATATTACCGTATAACGATTTGTGCACTTCCAATGGAGTGCATATGCTCTCTGCGTATCAAACACATCTATTGCTTCTGTTATCTATAATAGTAAAGCTAAAAACGGAACTCATATTCTTTGGTTCTTTCCGTAAAGTCACGTAGATAGAAAATTAAATAAAAAGAAAAAAGAAAATTCACGACGTTTTTTTTTCTTTCTCTCTGCCGGATGACGACCGCTTGTGTTGCGATCGAAACGTCGTGAGTTTTTTTTATTTGTTTAAATGTTTTATTTATTTTCTATCTACGTGGCTTTACCAAAAAGAACCAAATAATATTAATTCCTGCAGTCACGAAAGTTTTAAGTCAAAATTTTAAAACGGAAATATTTTTTTCTTTTATGAGGTAAGGCCCACTGAGCTATGTAGCTCTTTTTTCAGAAGCGACCTGGCAACCTACGATAGATCAACGAAGTGGCTATTCGCGTGGAAATTTATCGCAGCCAAATACTCGACACGAGTGTTGTTGTTTCTAAATGTGGAGGGGAAAACAGATGACCCGGAAAAAAAATCCATGCGACCACGGAGAAAGAGACACGCAAACTCCAAATATACAGCAGCAGGCGTCAGGTTCGGGATCGAACTCACGACCTCTTGTATACCAGGCGAGGCAGTTAACATTTCCTAGCCACTGTGATCATGAGAGAGAGAGAGACACGCAAACTCCAAATATACAGCAGCAGGCGTCAGGTTCGGGATCGAACTCACGACCTCTTGTATACCAGGCGATGCAGTTAACATTTCCTAGCCACTGTGATGATGAGAGAGAGAGAGACACGCAAACTCCAAATATACAGCAGCAGGCGTCAGGTTCGGGATCGAACTCACGACCTCTTGTATACCAGGCGAGGTAGTTAACATTTCCTAGCCACTGTGATGATGAGAGAGAGAGAGAGACGCAAACTCCAAATATACAGCAGCAGGCGTCGGGGTCGATATAGAACTCACGACCTCTTGTATACCAGGCGAGGTAGTTAACATTTCCTAACCACCGTGATGATGATGAGAGAGAGAGAGACACGCAAACTCCAAATATACCGCAGCAGGCGTCAGGTTCGGGATCGAACTCACGACCTCTTGTATACCAGGCGAGGTAGTTAACATTTCCTAGCCACTGTGATGATGAGAGAGAGAGAGACACGCAAACTCCAAATATACAGCAGCAGGCGTCGGGGTCGATATAGAACTCATGACTTCTTGTATACCAGGCGAGGTAGTTAACATTTCCTAACCACCGTGATGATGATGAGAGAGAGAGAGAGACACGCAAACTCCAAATATACAGCAGCAGGCGTCAGGTTCGGGATCGAACTCACGACCTCCTGTACACCAGACGAGGCGGTTCACATTTCGCCACCGTGGTGTCCATAATGGGCAGCATTGGTGTACCGAAGCTCAGTGAAGTTCACAAGTTCACTTCGCGAGTCAAGCCCATTGAGCTCGACAGTTCTTCTTCTTTTTTATTATTATCAAGGGCGACTGAGCCAGCGACAACGAGCGGCAGCAAAGCGCTACGAACAAGAGTGATTCCACCGTCCGCGCGCGTGGAACTCCGTTCGCACCGTGCGTGGCCAACCGCGCCCGACGGAGCTGCGTCTGTTACCCCCCTCGGTCTGTGACAGAGAGCACAGAAGCAATGGTCGAGCGAGACACTTTGAGACAGCCACGCGAATAGGGCCCTCGCATATTTATTATTTTGATCTTTGGTTCACAACCGAAAGGGCAGTGTCGGTGTAGAATTACATCACGTTCAACCCCGGTTCTGCGACCGCCCGCGCGTACTGCGACGGCGGATAACCGAAACATTCCTTTCATCCGAGGTCCGATGAAAAAGTGCACATACCGTGTAATTGTACCATAATTAGACAACCCTCCTGCCCCCCAGCTAAGCCCAAATACAACATCACATATCTGGAATTGTTACAATTCCTGGTTTCAAGTGGAAATAATCAGGGGCTCAGGAGAAAACGCAGCAGTTATAAACAGGAGGGCGGAGGAAATGTCAAAACGCTGCGTTACAAAGCCGATGGACTCTAAGCCCAGACGTGCTATCCAAATGTTACATCCAATTCCCCTCCCATAAATGAGGACTTTCCATTCCACTAAGCCTCAATGTGACAGTTGTTACCAAACTGTATACATAAAATCATCTTACGTTTATATTCATACGCACAGACAAAATATATATTGCAGTACTCGTATAGGAGCTTAAACAATTATGATGTCTACATGAGAACTTTGGAGGTGGAGAAAAAATCCTCCTGTCATACGTTGGCATGTGTTTGCAGAAGAGCAAACGTATCCTGCATGTGAATTATCATTATTTTAAGATATATGAAAAGAGAGGCATTTCAGCAAAGTGTCAGCGCGCGCGCGCGTGTTTTTTGTTCATCTCGAAGTGAGCGCACGCAGTACAACAAAACAGAAGCAGAGCGCGCAGCGTGTAACTTCTCTCTCGAGCCACCTCAGGGTAATAAAATGATCCCAACTTCCAACAAGCCATCGCGATATCACAGGGCCGCCAACACACACCACGATGCCATCCACAACCGCGGTCCAACGAAGTTGTCCTTACCACGTGTCTCAACTGCTCACACCTTCTCTTCAGAGGAACGCCGTGCCGCCACTGCTTCAAGGCACCATCGGAGTACTTTTGCTTCTGTGGGTTTTATTTCTGTATTCTTATTATTAGTATATCCCCCAGCCCCCTCTCAACCCCGCAGCACCCTCCCTCCCTCCCCCACCCCCCGTTTCCCTACCGCTACACAACTCTCATCACCACTGTGGAATTGACGCTCGAGCCATCCTACCGCAGCCTCGGCTATCGATGGATCCGCGGGTGGGTGGAGGTGCTGCTCGCTTGCGTTGGCCGCTCACGCACGCGCACACACGCACGCGCACACACGCGCACACACGCACACACGCGCACGCACGCGCACACGCACACGCGCACGCAACCCCTTGTGCCGGCTTGCCGGTTCGGCGCTCGCGACTTTTTAAAGAGTGGAGCCAGAAAGCGCGTGGACGTCAGTGACGGCGTGGATTGCAAAGGGTGTGTTCGGGGCTTCTGGCGATGCTCGTGTGGGTGGGTGGGGTGGGGGTTGCGTGGCTGCTGGCTGCTGGCTGGGTGGGTGGGTGGCTGGCCGGGTGGGTGGGTGAGCGAGTTCAGGCGTGTGCGTGACTCGTCGTGTTTACGAACCTTCGTGAGCGGTTGGCTACGTACGGTGCGAAATGCGTCCCACGTACGTGTGCGTGCGTGTTGCGTGACAGCATCTTGAGCAGTGGCCAGTGATCGATGCCACTGTTCAATGAACACAGCGACCTGAGTTCAACTTCCAGCCGTGCCTTGCCATGAATGGCGAGTTTGTAACCCTTGGCAGACTGGTGGGGAAAAGTGCTGTTAGCGAGCACCTAGTAAAGCGGAGGTGGATTGTGTGGCTTGTGCCATGTGTGCCTGTCTTTGTCGCCCCAGTAATGCTCTTTAACACATTGCAACTGGGTATACTCGCTTCAGGCTGAGTCAACCTAGGGGAAGACCAATACATATTCTGATTCCAATTATCACTGACATTAGTCACGGCTGGAAATGTAACTCAGATCACTGGATTCAAAGTGCAATGTGCACACCACTGCATCACCACTACCCACGCATACATACTTAAACCTACACGTGTACTGATATAGATCTCTGCTGGTTTAGATAACATAGTTAAACATTTTAAGGTGTAACAATAGTGGAATGGATAAAGGATGAGGTTATGGATTTTTGGGATTGGATATATTTAAGCCGTACAGTCATCATAATGCTACATGCATCAATAATAAGTAATATTTAAAAATACTTTTTTTTAAACACGCTTTAATGAAATGTACCGTACGAGAAATGGCAGAACTCCACGACTCCAGGAAGTGGCTCCGAAGCTTGTCATAACGTAAGGAGCCGTGGCCAATTACAGCCAACGTGAGTTGAGCGTGGACAATTAGACCCAAGCCGAAACATAAGATATAAAAAAGATTACTTAAAATATATATTGTAAATTTTTAACGATAGAATATAGTGTTGTCATCAGTATGACATACGTATACCAAGTTTGCAGTCGATACGACATTGGGAAGTGGGTTAAAATTGAGTTACAAGATTTGAAGATACGACAACAGACAGAGTTGAGGATACAACAGACAGAGTGAGTTAAATAAAAGCGTGTAAAAAGAGGAGTCTATTTAATGCCCTAAACAAAACCATGAATGCTTTATAACCCCCTACTGTGTGGCCAAATATTAGAGACAGATAAAGTAGTGTACCTACAAGACGCACACAAAGGCCACACTGCACAACTTGAGGGGCATTGAAATTCCATAAACAATTCACACGCATGCACAGCGCTCGGCATGCACGTTTTTGTAACATCATAATTGGAAGCATGTACACGGTGAGTTAATACCTGAAGAAAATATTGTTTGCAAAACAAGACGACCGTTGGCGTAGGTATTTCCACACAGTTGCCATTTTCTCTCTTCTTCTCCAAGGTCCATATCATAATACCTCCGGCTGGGGCTACGACAAACCCTGACACGGAGCGATGGCACGCGTGCAATTCCGCGCAATCAAAACATTTGCCAAATCGCTGGGGGTTATATCCAAGCAAAATATATCAAATGAAATGCCACGGGCTCGATAAAAAAAAAAGTACGTGAAAAAACATTTTAGATAAGAAGCAAAAAAAAAACCCCCACACCCACGCTCCCACACACATTGCAGCATAAAAACAAGAAGATTAGAAACACTTTACTGACACTCAGCGTCGGTTTTTTTGGGGTTTAGAAATTGTATTTTAACGACAAAAACTATTTTAAAAAAGTTTTGCTCACTGAGTTTCTGTCATTCAAAGCTCAGACTGCGGATGCGATCGCCCCCCCCCCACCCTCCACTTCCCTTGCCATTAAAGACTTCAGGAGAACTCGGCAAGCTAAACCAGCTCCGCGTATTTTCATCAGAGAAAATAACCGCCCCTTTCGATTTAAAGCTTTCGTGACTGCAGGAATTCATCTTCTTGGTTCTTTCGGTAAAGTCACGTAGAAGGGAAGTAATAAAATAATAAAAAATTAAACATTATTTTATTATGTTTTATTTTATTATGTTTTATTTTTTATTATTTTATTACTTCCCTTCTACGTGACTTTACCGAAAGAACCAAGAAGATGAACCGCCCCTTTGTTTGTCTGAGACATTTTTTTAATCATTAATCACCGTTTCTCTTCAACGATTAACCGAATGTATTCGAAGAAGCGCATTACGTTCGATTATTAAACCACGGATACGCATTTGTTTGCGGAGGCATGACGTTTCTTTTTGAGAAATTATAGATTGTAACAAAAAATAAACATCTTAAAGTGGTTATGGTTACTGGAATCGAAACCCGCTTAAAATGAAACCGGGCCTCTTTGGAGAGGTCTTGTTGGCTCAGATTCTAGACGCATAAATATAAAACGCAATTGCTAAAATTGTTTAAAATAGGCAATGAAAAGAAATAATAAATACTCTGCAATGCATATATATATATACCCACTGCGCACGTTCATAGTTACTTAAGTAGATATGCCACGTATGTAGCAACCTATACACATGCCACGTGTATCCACAGGCCCACAGTAAGTTCGGTAACGTAGTCGTGAAGAGGCTCACATTCTGTTTCAGTTTCAGTTTTTCAGTTTCATTTATTAGGTATAGCCCTGTGAGCCATTCGGCTCTTGAATCGGGTGCAACCGCAACAAACAAAAACAAAAACATGAACAAGAAAACATCTTAAAATGACTGCGCGCAAACAGAAAAATCCATGAAAAAACTGCAAAGTCTTCCAGAAAAAAAGCACCGTACACTAACGCTGTGCAAAAATCCCAGTGGGATGCAAGTCAAACAACAACCACAAGACAACTTAGATTAAAGCCATCATTGTATTTCCGTACTACAACAAACATGGCCAAACCACAAAACGTTTTCGAAATCACCAAAACAAAGCCATAAGCAATGTAACAGTGATCACAGTGAGCGCAACCTTCTTCTATACGACAGGAAACACAACTTTAAAGATTTTATTTTTATTTTATTTTACCAGGTAAAGGCCCACTGAGCTATGTAGCTCTTTTTCAGTAGCGACCCGGCCACAATTAGTGACTTATCACCGTGTGGAAATGTAGGGCAGTCAAATACTCTAAACGCGTGTTTCTAAATGTGGATAGAAAAACCGGAGGACCCAGAGAAAAATGCACACGACCACGGGGACAACACGCAAACTCCAAATATACAGCAGCAGGCGTCAGGTTCGGGATCGAACCCACGACCTCCTGTATACCAGGCGAAGTAGTTAACATCTCCTAGCCACCGTGGCGTCTCCAGACCAGACTACACAACCGTTCTCAATCTTGATTACGGTAGGGTTGGCACGAGAATGACTGCACGCAAGCTATCTCTCTGTCTCTCTCTCTGTCTCTGTCTCTCTGTCTGTCTCTCTATCTCTCTGTCTCTCTCTGTCTCTCTCTGTCTCTCTATCTCTGTCTCTCTCTCTCTCTGTCTCTCTCTCTCTGAACGGCACAGATCAAAATAAAGTGCCCTGACATCCTGAGCCAGGCAGAATTCAAGCTTTGGTACGATATATGTGTGTGTGCGTGTGGGTTATTATGTTCATTTGAACAAATCACATATGACTATTGCTTTTATTTTTACAAATGTTCAAACTGACTCCCATTAACGTTAATGCACGCATGAATGATCTTTTGAAGTGAATTTAGGACTTTTTTCATTAAAGATTACAGCTGTGTAATCTTTGAACGTTAATAAATAATGCTTGTTATCGCGATCAATGAAGGGCTCTTGGTCGAGTTTTGTAACACGGCAGATTTACGGTGACCCCGCAAGAATAAGAAGAAAATGTTATTTTCTTAACGACAATAGATAAAATATTAACTTCAAGAATGAACAATTAAAATGTTTTATAGACGGTGGTTAAATAAATTAAAGAACCCTATGTGTCCTGACTTTTGTGCCACCTTGTACATGAGGCAAAAAAAAACCCGGACCCACGTGCGTTGGGATATTTAATGAAAGCCCCTGTGCTGGATGACACGAGAAGGTTCCACATCTAGTATCCATGGCACGTTCATCAATTTGTCAACTAAAACCGATTCTTGAGCTGGCTGGGTGGCTCAGCACTGAGCTGGCCACCACCGAGAATCTGGGTTCAAATCCAGGTTGCTGCCTCTGAATAAACCGAGTTTTCAAGCGCATCTTGGAAAATCTGCCAAATTACATTGAAGCAATGCCGTTCTTATATTCAAACGAAACGTCGCACACTCATTCTGCTGTTGCTCCATAACATGTATCAATGCCTCAGCCAGATTCGAAGACGCCCACTAAGAAGGAAAGGCAAAGCTCGCTGACGAATATGCCAATTGCGCAGCAACACGCACATTACAACGAGCGCGACTAAGTTGGTGGTCGCGTGGCTCAGAAGTTAGCAGCACTGAGCTCGTACCGCTGGCTTTCTGGGCCCGAATAATCCAGGCGGCCTCCTATGGATAAAGCAGGTTCTGACGTGCAGCTGGTCCACCACGTGACCACACGCAACAAGAAAACACCATCGCATTAGAAGTTTTTCAGTTTCAGTTTCATTTGTTTGGTATAGCCATGTGAGCCATTCGGCTCTTGAATCGGGTGCAACCGCAACAAACAAAAAACTAAAACATGAACAAGAAAACATCTTAAAGTGACTATGCGCAAACAGAAAAATTCAGGAAAAAACTGCAAAGTCTTCCAGAAAAAAAGCACCGTACACCAACGCTGTGCAAAAATCCCAGTGGGATGCAAGTCATCCAACAACAACAACAACAACCACAAGACAACTTAGATTGAAACCATCATTCTAACTCCGTACTACAACAAACCAAAAAACTTTTCGAAATCACCAAAATGAAGCCATAATCAATGTAACTGTGATCATAGGAACTGTGAGATGTGGTTCTGCACTTAATGTGGTTACATTATATCTCTGAGAATGAAAAC